TATTTTTTAAAAAGGATTTATTTATTTATGCATACAAGAAGTGGGGTACAGGCCGGAGGTGCAGGGGTGAGAGGATTCACGAGAGACAGAGTGGGGAACAGAACAGGCAGACTGACTGAGACACACTGCTGAGGGGAGCAGTGGGGAGACAGGAGAGGTCTGCTGCGCCATGTGGGTAGCTCCCTGGAGGGGAATCGAACTCGTGATGCAGAGAGCTTCATAGTTTGCGTCTTAACCCCTTGTGCCCCCAGGGAGGCCCTCATTGATCAGTATTAACAACCTTGATCAGTATGTGTTCATGTTTACCAGCATTTTCCAGGTCAGCCCAGTGCCTTGCTCACAGCAGGCAACACTCAACAATTATTTACTGGATGAACGGACACATTATTTGAGAAGTAGAAGCAAAAGGGGACAAAAAGGATTCGTTACTCAGTTCAAAAATCTTTGTGATACATTTCTTGAGCAAATGTGTCCTACAAAACAAGATTACTTGGGTTACATTGTGAGGAACTGATTCTATCGAATGGTTTAAGTTTTACCCCTGACTGAACCATAATATACTGAGATCAGAGACTCAGTACTCTGATTACACGCGATGCCGTGGATATTGCTGGGTACTTTATTCAGTTCCCTTAGACAGTGGTGAAGGGGAAGACACGGTCAGGCGGAAATTGTTACGAGAAATGTAATGTGCTGGCATCCCTGTGGGCAGTGCCGGGTGTCCTGGTAGATGGGCAAAGGTCCGGGGGAGAGAAACCTTTGTTCTGATTCATATTTCTCTTGGGTCACAGCTCCTTGGCTCAGATGCTCCCAGAGCCAGCACCTTTTCTCCCTCATCTTCCCGCATGAGACGCCCAAGCACCAGGGGAGGAGTTGAGCTGAGGGTGACTCTTCCATGCTGTCTCCCACTCCAAGACCCCAAACATTTTTTTTTTTTTTTAGCTGCTCCATTGTCAGCTCCATTTCAGCTGCTCCATTGTCAGCTGGTTAGTTCGGTGGCTTTGCAGGGATACTAATTAGGTCATTATAAAGGTCCTGCCCAGCTGAGTGCTAGTTAGATTGGCCTTTTCCCAAGCACATCCTTGCCCATAAATAAATACTATTATTTTTAAAGATTTATTTATTTATGCATATGAGAACTGGGGTGCAGAGGGTAAGAGGACTCACCAGACACAGAGTGGGGAGTAGAACAGGTGGATCTACAGAAATCCACTGCTGAGAGGAGCAGCAAGCAAGACAGGAGAGGTCTGCTGCGCCATGTGGGTAGCTCCTTGGCCGGGGACCGAACTCAGGCAGCAGTGGCTGGCAATAGCTTAACCCCTGTGCCACCACAGGATGACTCTTTGGATGACTCTTTTGTAAATGTCTTCCCAGACATCTTCACAGCTACCTCATCACTGACGCTGATACTCTTCCTCCTTGGAAATGCTCCTGGAGGACAGAGCTGCCCGTGCTGACAAACTGACTCTCACAGCTAAGAACAGGTGCAGAGTACCGTCTCTGCCTAGAGGAAGTTTGTCACTTCACTGGTGTCCCTGTGGTAAAACACACAGCAAACAAAATGGCCTAAAGCAAGTGGAGTGTAGGCCAGAGGTGTGTGTGTGGGTGGTGAGAGGATTCACCAGAGACAGAGTGGGGAGCAGAACAGGCGGATCCACTGAAATATACTGCTGAGGGGAGCAGCAGGGAGACAGGAGTCTGCTGCACCATTGTTGTAGGGCCAAACAGCGGTATATACGTTTTTCTGAGAATTTAAATGATGGTGGAGCATGTACAGGTTAACAAGCAACAGCCCAACATCCAGCCACAGGTCTCTGAATACCCTCTACATCATCCTCCAAGGTACAGGCCAAGGCAACAGTCCACACTCACGGCCAGTCCTGGCCTGCGACCCGGAGGTGAGGAGTCCCGTGCTCCGGCTCACACACAATACTCACAGCTGGAGGTGGAGTGTAGTGTTCCTTTTGCTCCTCAGCCATCTTTCCAGACTGGTATCCCTCTCTCATCCCTGAAAGCCCTTGGCTGTGGGACTCACTTCATGAGCCTGCAGACTCAAAAGGCTGCTTCCCTCCCTCTCCGGAAGATTTCCTTCCTGGCTCACGCACAGCCCGGGGGCAGCACATTGCAGTAAAGGACGTCACATCACCCTGGCGCCTCCAACCTTCTCTCCTGCCAACACCTTCATTTCCACGGCACTCAGTCCTCCGGCCATCATTGGAGCACACATGGCCTCAGGCTCTGCTGCAGGCTTTGAGTCCTATTTCACTGGGAAAATTGAAGCATCCATGAGGCCTTCTATGAGCTTTGCGACTGTGTCTAAACATCCACCGGCATCTGTGTCCATACAGACCGCCCTCTCTTCTCCCCTGTCCCTTCGAAGTCCACACAGTGCATACGTGCTCTGGATCCATCCTTTCTGTTTTGTTCGAGGACATTGCACCAGCCGTTGTCACCTCCCTGCTGTACCATCAAAATTTCCCTCTCGCCTGGATCATTGCCAACCACGTACAAACATGCAATTACTTTTCCCAACTTAAAATAACCAACACCGCTCTCGACGCCACATCATTATCACAGGGACCCACTTCTCTGCATCTCTTTGTAGCCTCACCCCTTGCAGGGGCTGTTGATGTCACTGTCATAGCTCCTTTCCTGTTTCTTCTTTTTCTTTTTAAAGATTTATTTATTTATGCATACAAGAACTGGGGTATAAGCCAGAGGTGTGTGTGTGGGGGGAGGTGAGAGGATTCACCAGAGACAGAGTGGGGAACAGAACAGGCAGACTGATGAAATACACTGCTGAAGGGAGCAGCGGGCGAGTCAGGAGAGGTCTGCTGCACCATGTGGGTTGCTCCCTGGCTGGGGATCGAACTCATGCTGCAGTGGCTGCCAATAACTTGATAGCGCTGAGACTTACCCTTTGTACCCCCAGGGAGGCCCTGTACTGACAATATTTTGAGGAAGATGAAGTATCTTTAAAGAGAAAGAAGAGAGGAACAAGGAAGTAAACGATTGCACTTGACCAGACTGGATGGTAGTTGGAAGATTTTGCAAGATTTTAGAAACAGACAAGCCAGGGCTAAAAACATTTCTAGCAGCAAATGGCAGACCGGCCAGAGGACTTGTTCGTAACAGCAGGTGGGGAAACAAACCCCTTCTTTCTAAGGATCCAGACAGCTTTGGGGAAACTGGGCACCATTATCAGACACCTCCTAATCACCACGCATTTCTGGATTTTCTAAGTGTTGAGTTTGCCTCCCTTGGGGCTGTGCTAACACTTCTCCTACTGTGGACGGTGTTAGCACGATCCAACGTGTTTAGCTCCTGTGCCACAGATATAAGATCACTTTTCTGTGTAGAGTAATATAAATATTACATTTAACTTTCGGGTGATCTACAGATTTCAATGATCTGGGTTGTCTCCTGTTAATAAGAATAATGGCAAACTGGATTGAGTCTGAAATCATAACATGTTCTCTTATGAATGGCATCCATAGTGTTCCTTATTTTTTCACTTTTATCATCCATTAAATTGGAAGTGTATACAGGTTTTATACAAACACACCAAGCTCAAGAGTCTTTCTTCTGAGGGATCCCCAGTTCCAGCCCACACCAAAACCACATTGGTCCAGTCTGGTCCGTCCTGAACATTATGATAACCAGGGTGGGGACAGCGAATACTGTAGTTTCCTTCCCTGATATTTACATCGCACACTTTCAGAAATAATTTGACCTTTCCTAACTTGTGCTTAATGCAATTTTATTACCTTCTCACTCATAAATTTAATCCACAGTCAACTGTTTTTATTTCTAGGCCCTATAACCCTTTATAGGGTAATAAGTATGTAATTTTACTACCCACTGTGTAAAGTAACTCCCTCTTCTGATTTGTCTTTTGACTTCAGGAGTCTTATTAATTCTAATATTGATGATCAAATCTCTACTTTATCTACAAATGTAATTTCAGTAATTTCCCCTCTTAGGATATGCATGACCAAATGACCTAAAATTTTAGGCTGTAAATACATAATCACACATGTAAAAAAAAAAAATCTAAGCTAAATTATTTTTAGCTAATCTGATGAAAAAGGGGAACAGATAGAAATAGAAATGCAAGAAATAATTATGTTTTTATGATTATTTATTTGCACCCCTTTCTTTCCCACGTAAATTCCTTGACAGAGGCAAGATTTTATCCATTTTCTATCTCCCCTAGTACAGCGGTTCTCAAATATCATTGTGCCTCTGGATTAATTAAAGGGCTTGCTCAACCTACTGCTGAGCTCCTCCCTACCCCCCAGAGTATTTTATTCATTAAGTCTGGCTTGAAGTCTGGATTTGCGTATCTAACAAGTTCCCAGGGGAGTGAGATGCTTCTGGAGAAATCACACTTTGAGAACCAAAGCTCTCATACAAGGTTGATGGGATGAGAGAGTGACTTAGAAGAGGGATGAGAAGTTTCTGCTCTGGGAAAACCTCAGTTGTCGGTCCCACTACTACACCGTCTGGAGACTATGCATTGAAGCATCTTCCCAATAAGCACAGGAGACAGAACTTGGACCTGTCTTGGGGATGATGAGGCACAAACGTGACCAAAGTTGGCAAAATCCGGGCCTCGAGCAGAGCAGCTCCGGGTTGAACTCTGATATAAACAGCATCGGTAGGTCAGGCCCTATATTTCCAGCGCCCACCTCCAAAACAATATTTAGAGCCTCCAAATGCTGCCCTCAGGGCTTTGTGCTGACTTTAAGAAAGCACTACTCTTAGGAGTAAAGGTTTTAATTTGGACTTGCCTCTTACTCGCTGAGTGATTTAATTGTGCTTTTCAGTCCTCACCTTCCTCAGGTGAAAAATGGCAATTTTTCTTATTCTTCCCTAGTTCTTCTCCCAGGGGGTGGGTGAGATTAAACTGAGAGACAAACGCCCTTACTTACCAAGAACATAATCCAGGGACTTGGGCTTTTGTACAATAAATAAATCCAATTAAAATAATGCAAATGTCTTAAGAAACCACTATTGTGTATCTCTGAATTAAAAACGAACAAAATAATACTTGCTGGAACAGTGTGTCTGAGGTGGCAAACGAGTTTAGCAGAAACATCATTTCAGGAACAAATGAACCACAATGACCAATTCATTTTTGTGAGATCTGAACACAGATAGGTCCAGATACCATCTCAAGGACGGAAGTCTAAGAAGTTTAAAAGATTTATTTATTTTTTTACAAGAACTGGGGTACAGGTCAGAGGCACGGGAGGGTGAGAGGCTTCACCAGAGACAGAGTGGGGAGCAGAACAGGCAGATGGACCAAAGACACTGCTGAGGGGAGCAGTGGGTGAGGCAGGAGAGGTCTGCTGTGCCCTGTGGGTATCTCCCTGGCCAGCCAGGAATCGAACTTGCACTGAAGAGGCTGCAGGCAGCTTCACAGCTGTGCTCGACCCGCTGCACCACCGGGGAGGCCCAGTTTATATACTATGTTTGCAAAAGATTGGTATAAAGGGAGCACCTGTGAGACACAAATGATACCCGCACTTGCCAAATTACTGCTCATCTTAATCACATTTGCGTAGATGAATCAAGTCAAGGTGTGTGCCTCAATAAATAAATGGGGGCTCAGATGACTATGCCTAAATAAAAAAATATTTGGGGTGACAGCATTTTATTGATAGTCTCTACGATACTGCTCTCTTTGAGGATTACAAACTGCTCATCAGACGGCGCTCATAACCAGACACACCAACCTAAATGTGCCCACCGTGGGCAATTCTGCTCGTGGGGAAGGCTGTCTTTATCACAAGATGTAAGACCCTTTTGGGGATTCGTTGAAACTTCCTATAGGAACCCCACCAATTTCATCACCTCCTGGCACACAGGATATGCCAATTCTTTGGCTTTTGCTGACCCGGCTTGCAGAACCTTCTCTAAGTAGTCCTCGTCCATCTTCAGTTTTTCAATTTCGCTCTTAATTGGAGCAAATTTCGTGATCACAGCATCGGCCACGGCCAGCTTGTAGCGCGCGGTGTCCAGGCCTGCGCTGCGACGCACCACCTCCTGCACGGCCAGGCCGCTGACCGCCGCATGGATGGACACCAGGTTGGACACACCTGCTCGCTGCGCCGGGTCGTAGGTGACCTCCGATGTGCAGTCCGTCACAGCCTTGCGGAATTTCTGCACGATCTCCTCCGGGCTGTCGGTGATCCTGACGGTGGCCAGTTTGTCAGGGTCTGATTTCGACATTTTGGCAGAGGATCACGGAGGGATTTCACCTTTTCATGGGTGCTGCGTGCAAGCATCGACAGACACAGGCCAGAGCAAAAAAAACAGTAACAAAACATGGGGAAGGTCAGCGTCTAGGTCTCCTACGTGCCAAGAATATCAGATGATTTTATTATTTTTTTTCTCTGATTATAGAAATAGCATCTACTCTGAAAGATGCAAGTAACTTACATAAGTGGGAGCATAACGATGATCTGAAATGTCATTCTATTGCTCATATTTTTTTAAAGATTTATTTATGCAGACAAGAGCTGGGGTATAGGCCAGAGGTGCAGAGGGGTGAGAGGATTCACCAGAGACAGAGTGGGGAACAGAACAGGCAGACAGACCGAAGTACACTGCTGAGGGGAGCAGCGGGAGAGTCAGAAGAGGTCTGCTGCGCCATGTGGGTAGCTCCCTGGCCGGGGATTGAACTCATGCTGCAGAGGCTGCTGATAGCTTCATAGTGCTGCATCTTAACCTCTTGCACCACCAAGGAGGCCCCTATTGCTCATCTTTTGTTGAGGATCTTTTCATGCATCTTTTAATGCAGGCACACATCAACATGTATAGCCTTACACAAATAAAATGATGTAAATCATACTGCTTCTGCTGCAGACAGCTTTTTAAAATGCACTGTCTAATTCTTTCCTCTCTGGCTCTTGGCTCTTCACAGTTTCTCACCAGTGAATCACCCCCTGTCCACAACCACTGTCCTGCCCACCCCCAAGCCAATTTTAACACTCTGTGGCAATCTTTCCATCTCTTCACCCACGATTATATAAGTATACACCAACACTCACACCCACCCACATACACACTGGAAAAGTGTTGTTTATTGCTCTGATAGAATCAAGATGTTATTGTAAGTTGTGCTTCATAAACCAGTGCTATTAATAATTGCCTATTTTATGGCTGTTACAGAAGCATATAAAGTTGAAATAGGTAAAATAATAATAGGCCCAAACATGAAAATATTACTTATTGTTCAAAGAAGTTTGAGTCCAATGCATGAGGTGTGCTGGATTTTGTTGTGAACTGTTGGAATAAGTTAGAAATTCATGACTGCCTTACATTTCTTTTTTTTTTTTTTTAAGATTTATTTTATTTATTTATGCATGTAAGAACTAGGGTGTAGGCCAGAGGTGAGGGGGTGAGAGGATTCACGAGAGACAGAGTAGGGAGCAGAACAGGCACATTGACTGAAGTACACTGATGACGGGAGCAGCAGGCGAGACAGGAGACGTCTGCTGTGCCATGTGGGTAGCTCCCTGGCCCGGGATGCTGCATGTGGCATCCAAACTCATGCTGCAGTGGCTGCCAACAGCATCATAGTACTGAGACTTAACCCCTTGCACCACCAGGAAGGCCCTGCCTTACATTTCTGAAAGGACATGGGGTACAAGGTAGACGCCTTTAAAATGCTGTCAGCTCAGGAAAGACGGACAGAACTTCTGTTCGGTGATCTCTGCCCCCCACATCTTTGTTCACATCACTACCAAAACGTTGATAGAGATTTACGCTTCCTTCCTCTAAAAGATTCCAGACGAATATCGTTTCACAGCTGCAGCTATTTCAGATTCAGTCAGAAGATTATAAATTTTATCTCACTTGTGCAATTAAGAAAGCAAAGTGTGAGGACTATCAATACCCTCCTGTTTTATATAGATGATGCAGTTTTCACTCTTAGGACTATTGTTTTATTGTGAGCAGGGAAAGAAAAGCAAACTGGTTTTGGCCCCAGAGTGTTCAAGGAGGGCCCAGCTTTGCCACTAATCCCATAAGTGACTTGGACACAATGTCAGTTTGCCAAGACTAAACCCCCTCAACCCACAAAGTCGGGAAAGACATCTGCTCCACCAAAGGAGATGTGTTTTTATTTCTGCTTGGTAAATGATACAATATTTTTTTTTTTAATGTGTACTAGAGCTGGGGTGTAGGTCAGAGGTGCGTGTGTGGGAGGAGGGGAGAGTGAGAGGATCCACCAGAGACAGAGTGGGGAGCAGAACAGGTGGATCTACTGAAATACACTGCTGAGGGGAGCAGAGGGGAGAGGGGAGAGGTCTGCCGCGCCATGTGGGTTGCTCCCTGGTCAGGGATAGAACTTATGCTGCAGTGGCTGCTGATAGCTTCATAGTGTTGAGACTTAACCCCCTGCGCCACCAGGGGGGCCCCAAATGATATAGTCTTTTATAAATAAAAATGATTATCATTAGCTTTCAGTCTGTCCCATGCTTTGGAATTTTTTCAGCTATTTTACTCAATAATCCAACAAGCTCTCCTAGTCCTACATTAGTGAAAAAGATGGGATTCCAGTTGCAAATCCCAAAACCTGTCTATAAGAATGCCATGTTTAATCCCAACAAAGTTCCAAGCCGTGGCCCACGATCCAATCCTCTCTTTAAAACACGCCCTGGCTCAGCGCCCCCAGGCCTGATACTTACTGAGCAGGGACGTGGGCACCGGGAAGAAGTCCCCGTACTTCTTGTTAAACCCCCGTGCCAGGTCCTGAACTAGCTCCATGTGCTGGACTTGGTCCTCCCCGACAGGAACGTGTGTGGACCTTTAATAAAAGACAGAAAAACTCAGCACGACTCCCACTTAGGCTGCAAGGACATTGCAAGCAGCTGCAATCCCTGTGCCTACCTCGCTGCTGGTGTCCAACAAATGTTCTCCAGCTACAGAGGGAAGGTGGAGACCCGGGTTTTTCTCTGTGTATCAGACAAATGCCAAAGAGACGTTTGTCTCCCCTGGTTCTGCTTCTCCCGTAGCAGAAGAACACAGCCATCAACACCAGCGGGGCCGACAGGGGGGAACGGGACCCTGAACAGCATGTGCCGGATGCATAATTGCATTTTAAAACCTCCTCGGGTTCTCTGGCCCAGTCAGCTCCTATTAGCCATGCCCAGATGCCTTTTACTTCAGAGCTGGTGCTCACACTTGAAAGAGACCTCGCCCTACTCTTGCAATCAGAGATGGCAGAAAGCTCTTCAGGAAAGAGTCTTTCCTGCCTGTCGTATACAGAAAAGACTCAAGATCTGTTGGGAACATGTGCCTTCATCTTCAAGGAGATTGCAGTCACAGGGCGATAGATAAGATGCAGGCAACTGAAAATAAATGAGTAAAATCTATTAGAGTGTCGAGGGACCTCAAAAACAATGTTCAAAGAAAATAGCAAGTTGCAGAAGACAGAGTTCACTGCCATTTGTGTAAATCCTAAAAGTACATATAAAACTACTAAATTTTGTTTATAGGTTTATAGGTAAGAATAAAATTAAGCTCCTTCACAAATTCATGATTGTAGCAGCCTCGGGAGAACAAAGGAATAGAATGGTCTGGGGCATGGAACAAAAGAGACCTGAATTTTTGCAGTGATAGTTTATTAAAAAATGAAGATGTGAAATAAAAACTTGCCAGGAAATAAGGACTTTTCTTACAACTATTTTAATCCCACATGGAAAGCAGTGTTTATACCGACGTGTTATGGGAGAGGAGAGAGATGACTTTAGGTCTGTTTGGCTGGGAGCTTATCTTTGATAATAAACTTAAAGTGTGTATTTCTTGATCAAGGAAGTTTAATGTTTTCCCTGTGAAGACAGGAGCTTAAAAGTGAACCTGAATATTTAAATGATAATTGTACATTTTGAGTGGAAAAGTATCAGCTCTTCAAAACAGCCAGAGAAAAGGAAAACTATGGTACCTTGTTATAGAGGGAACTGCCTCACTGGGTGATTAATGAGTGGCTCTTGAAAACTGGGAGAGATCTTACTATTTTCCTCATGAATTACAGGCTCCTGGTCCACTTAACGTAGTATCAAGAGCATGGGGAAGAGAAAGAAGTTTTGACCAACATTAAGATTAGCTACTTGAATACAGTAAAATACTTGAGCATATTCTGAAAAATCCCTCATCATTTGTGATCATTCTTTTTGCAAGTTGCTCTCCAGTTTTTGTTGTCTCACGCCGCACGTTTTCACATCCCTGCAACATGATGTGCTCACCATCTCTCATGTTAACAGAACAGGCATTTCCATGTTCCTATGTGGTCTTCATTAATAGGCTTTTAATTAGATGCAGAGGAATGTTCCCATCCCAGAGTTACAAAACCATCGGGAACTTGTGCTATTTTGAAGCAGATTCTTTTGAATATTTATGTAGGGGGAAATTTTGATTTGAGTGAAAAAAATGGTCTATTACAAAAACCCAAACTCCTCTGGAGACAAATCTGGTGAATGAATGTTCAATACTTACTGGTTAAAACCAAAGGCTGCCAGTTAGTGAAACTCATATTTGTTTGTATTATAAAATAATTCTGAATATATTTCATAAAGAACTGATAAATGTTTTGAATATTAGAATAAGTCAGAGCTTTCAAAACAACTCTTGGATATTCCTTTTACATGGAAGTTGTGCATTTTATTTACCAGAAAATTCTAGAATGTTAGTAGTGTTTTCACATCCTCATATATTTACATAGTTGCCATATGTGTATGTGTGTGTGTGGTGTGTATTTATATGCATATAGTGCATGTGTGTATATGCCATATGCATAGCACACATGTGTGGCATGTTCATGTGTGCAAGTGTGTGGTATATGCATGGGTGTGCATGTGTGGTGTGTGTGTCTGTGTGTGGTGTGTGTGGTGGTGGGGTGTTTGAGAGATAGAGTACAGCTCTTCCTTTACAGCATAGGTTTTGGGTTGCCAGCTTCAACCCCGATTCTGCCACCCTTGTTTTGTGTGCTTTTGGATAAATCATAGAATTTCTAGCACAGGCATCTTCCTTACCATAAAACAGGAGTAATAATATTTACCTCAAAGTCTTGTGATGGAGATTAAATGAGACAATACATGTAAAGCACTTAGCACAATGCCTGAAATTTGATAAGCCTTCAAATAACAGTGATGCAGGGAACAGAATTCGAGAATGGAATATTGTATTTCAGAACTCCCTACACAACCAGGGGTTCATTTATTACCTGATCCTCATTCCAGCTTCTCTCTAGATTGGCCAAAAATAGGGACGTTTATAAGGGAAAAGTCCAGCATCGTCATGTAGGTTTAACAAAGTGGATAATCAAGATCCAGTGGAATATTTACACATTTGTATGTAAATTTTCATGGGGGAATGAAAACAACATAGAATTGACAGAAAGCAACATGTGCAGAACTCAGAGGCATGAGAAATGAATGACTGTGGGCAACCTGGACCTCTGACATTCCCAGGAAGACGTGGGTCCCTCCCTAGGGGAAAGGAGCGTGGAGACAAAGGGGCTGATACAGAAAATAAAAACAAATAAGGAAGCAAATGCAGCTGAGCGTGTACACTGAAGGACTCCAACACCAAGAGGTGCCCCAAACACTACCCAGAGAAAATTTCGAATTACAGCGTTAAAGAAAAAAAAACCCAGCTGCCAAGAAATTAAAAAAAAATATATGAGAAGACTCATGTTGATAATAAACAATGGCACAATGTTTACAGTGTGGAGGGAAAAGGTGTTAAGAACCTCACCAAGCTTTAGTGTGTGAGATGTAATAATTATCAAGAAGATAATAAAGTAAGTCCCAGCCACTGAACAATTCCCACACCTTTCCCTGAGTGTGTTTTATGTATTCTTGTTGTGCTTAATCCCACTTCAGAGATGAGGCAGGTCTGTCATTTATAAAGACTGAGTGCTAGTTCCTGGGTGATAAGGTTGGGGGTAACTATGGGGACTAGAATGATGCAAGAAAAAAAAATTAATTAATATAATAAGAAAAATTTTTTAACAACTGAGTGGAAACACTAAAAAATGTAAAATAAATTTTGGTTACTTTTGGAAATAGGTGGAAGACAATGCATCTAAAATCAAGCCTTGGGCCTCCCTGGTAGCACAAGGGGTTAAGCACTGCACTATGAAGCAATCCGCAGCCTCTGCAGCACGAGTTCAATCCCTGGCCAGCCAGGGAGAAACCCATATGGCAAGGCAGACCTCTCCTGTCACCCCGCTGCTCCCCTCAGCAGTGTACTTCAGTCAGTCTGCCTGTTCTGCTCCCTGCTCTGTCTCTGGTGAATCCTCTCACACCCCACCCCCCGCATCGCTGGCCTGTATCCCAGCTCTTGTATGCATACATTAATAAATCTTTAAAAAAATAAAAAATGAAATAAAATCAAGCCTTAACAACAATCTTGGAAAATCCTAGGGTAAGTAACAAAATCAAAAGGGCGTGAGTATAAGCTGAGCGCCCACATGATAACAGCCACATGATAACGTTCTTAACTTGGAACGATTAACACAAAGTTCCCAAGAATACTTTTGAAAAGCAAGAGACTGACAGGCAAATGGACAACGGCCAGAGAACAGATGATGAAAAACTCTGACCCAAAATTTCTGGGGCAAGAGGTCCAGAAAGTCAAACCGCAGCTTTTGCAACAACTGGCCCAGAATGACCCAGCCTTGTTCAACGAGGTCGTACAGCCCTTGCTCTGTCCAACTCAGGGCCAGCCAGAGTCAAGCTCTCCCAGCAATCACAGAAGACACCCCACTTCCGGTGAGCTGCCTGCCACTTCGCCATGGCAACAAGCTCAAAACTTTCCTATTTCCTTGTCAGACTTCTGCAGGCCTCGGCCTGCCTTTAAGTCTCTGCCAAGCACAAGTGATAGTGGCAACCCCCTTGCTGTAGCACCTCTTAAATATGGTCTCGGTTCTCAGTTGGGTGGTCTTTATTGAAAGATAATCACTACTAGAATTAAAAACAGAAAATATTCCAAATCATTAGAATGGACAAAAGCAAAGAAAACACAGTTTAAATATAAGAGACAGAAATAAGGAATCCTAAAAAACAGAAAACATTTCACATTGTGGAAAAATATGAGACAAAAAAAAAAAACAAAAACAACAAGATGCAAGTTTGTTAGGAAAATACATTTCTACATTTAACATGTGTTCACATAAAGGAGAGGACACAGTGCTTAGGGTGGGGATGCTCAGGCCGGGTAGTTCTAGGCCATTCATTTACCAGTTGGGTATTCCTGGGCAAGTGCTTTATCTTCCTAAGTCTATCCTTTTCTTTTTCTTTTTTAAAGATTTATTTATTTATGCATACAAGAGCTGGGGTACAGGCCAGAGGTGTGTGGGGGGGTGACAGGATTCACCAGAGACAGAGTGGGGAACAGAACAGGCAGACTGACTGAAGTACACTGCTGAGGGGAGCAGCGGGCGAGTCAGGAGAGGTCTGCTGTGCCAGGTGGGTTGCTCCCTGGCCGGCCGGGGATTGAACTCATGCTGCAGTGGCTGCGGTTAGTTTCATAGGTTGCATCTTAACCCCTTGTGCCACCAGAGAGGCCCAAGTCTATCTTTTTCATTTTAAAAACCAACTGGTAACAATTCCAATGCATGGGGTTCTTCTTTGCAAAATAACGCAAGCAAAGCTCACAGTCTACTACAGAGCATGCAAAAAGAAATACTAGTGGAATCATAGACAGTGTTGTGAACCAATATTACCTCAATTAAAAAAGATGCAATTCAAAAAACAACAAAGAACTAGTTTGAAGGAAATGCACCAATCTATTGTATTAATAAGA